CACACACACACACACACACACACACACACACACTCACTCTCTCTCTCTTTCTCTTACACACACCCCCACATACACACAGAGGTTCCCAGGCTTTTGGGGTCTCCACCTCTTCCTCTTATTACCCAACTCAACCCATTTGCTAGACATAGATTAAGAACATCCTTGGGCATTTACAACGATATCTGAGAGTCTTCAAAACACCCCTCTAGTTGCCCGTCTTTGAACTGCAGTGGCAAAAATATACTGAAAAGGCTGGTGAGAATGAAATGCATCTGTCTGGGATGAACTGTGAGCAGAATGTTTCTTCGAAGCAACAAAGGGGAGCGGTTACCTCACATACTTAGGATATATGATCAGGTGGGGCTAGTCTCTGAAGAAGGACGTCATGCTTGGAAAAAGACAGGTCAGTGAAAGGGAGGAAGGCCCTCAGGGACATGGATGGACACAGGGTTTGCAGTGGGCTTCAAGCACAGCTGTGGTTGTGAGAATGGTAAAAATCGGGCAAGATTTCAGTCAGTGGGGTCACTTTGAGTCAGAGGGGACTGGACAACACCTACCAACAACAGTGTCATTTCAGTCGGGCTCAGCTCATGGGTAAGTCAGGATTCCGGGTGTCAGAAAGATTCTGCCTGTAGCTTGACACAAACTCTCTTACCAGAACATTCCAAGATGGTCCCGGGGAATTGTCAGCCAGGCAGAGAAAATTCTTCCGCCATATTTGAGCTGTTCGGTTTAGCCGTTGCCAGTGGGGCTTTGTATCTTGAGTCACATCATACGTCGGGTCAGTGGGATCCAAGATTACTGGCCTATGAATTCCATTAGAAAAAAAAATTAAAAATAAAAAAAAACACACAAATGGTTGAACTGCCTTAGGACCAGAATTCCTTTTGAGGGAAAGAGTCCTGGATAGAAATCTATTACCTTGGATTCTAATTCCTGAAGTAACTGGGGAGGGCTTTGTCTAAGACATCCCGTTTCTCTAGGATTCTCTGGGCTTCCTGTTTTACAAAGACTGTGCACTAATGAACTAATGAAATGGTCTCTCTCTGCCCTCTAGACCCTTACCATCTAGAATGAGAAGCATTTCTACGCATTTTTTGGGGAGTGTGTATGTGGACTAGAACTGCACTCCAGAGGGCTTGCACACAGAGGGCTTGCACAGAGAGGGCTTGCACACAGAGGGCTTGCACAGAGAGGGCTTGCACACAGAGGGCTTGCACAGAGAGGGCTTGCACACAGAAGGTTTGCACACAGCTGTGACCTTTCAGAAGCAGATCTCCAGGCTTTGCTTCCGAGGGAACTCTAGGTGGACTTGAACCAACCACCTCTAGGTTAGTAGCCCAATGCTTAATGTAACTGTTTTATTTCACCCAGGGATTCCTGCAGCTTTTTACATTCTTTTGACTGAAAGTTGGCAAATCCTATTGGTTTTCATTCAATCCTTCATAGGTATTTTGTTTCCTAGCATTAATCACAATTCATTAATGAAATGAATTCATTAGAGCGGTGGCCTAGTAGTAAGGAGTTGTGTTGCCAACCTGAAGGTGTGTGGTTTGAACCTACCAGCTTCTACTTGGGAGAAAGATGGGCAAGCTCCTTGTGGGCAATTTAGAGCCATTGAAAGACCGCTGAGGGTCAGCTGTGGGTCTAATGGCATATAATAACAACACTTCTTGCTGTTGTTATGTATTGTCAAGTCACCTGCAACTCATAGTGACCCTATGTATAACAGCACTAAACCCTGCTCTATCCTGTGCTCTATTCTGTGCACTGTCTCTGACACACCCGCCCGCATTACCCCAGTCACTGAATCAGCCCACCTCATTGAGGGACTTGTCTTACCCATCATCCAACTTAACAGTTTGTTAGTTTTACCTTCCTCTCTTCCCATCCCTCCATTCCCATTCCCAGGCCTCCCAGATTGGTTGTATCTGTGTGTGCATCTTAGCTTTTTGTAGGGGTCTTAGATCGTAACTGTCCTGTTGTGACTAACTATGTCATTAGGCACCACTTGTAGATCTAACCCATGTCGTACAGTCGAGTTTGTTTTGGAGATGCAACGTGGCCACAGGACGGAACGTGACAAGGAGGGAAGTAGCAGGAGTGCCTGCTGCCGGGAAGTCCTTGCGTGGCTTCCCACCCACCCACCGCTGCAGTATTTGACACATGACAGGCTGCACAGGACAAGGCTGTGTCCTCACACAGCCCCGTCCACTGATAAAGGGGGGGCATGGGGTGGGGGTGCTCTGTACCGCGGTGCCCGCAGCCGGCACAGCAGCATGTTCCGGACGGTCTCGTCCTCAAAGTTGTAGTTGACGGTCCAGTAGACACACAGCTGCTCGTGCTGTCCGATCAGGTCGAGAACAGTCCTGAAGCCTTCGGCTAGGTCAAAGTCATCCTGCCCGCACCCCTGCTCCCAGGCATAGACCGTCAGCAGCTCCAGCGCGTACACAGGCAGCTGGGAGAACCAATATTTCACCTCCTGGTGATATCGGACAAGAAGGGACATGGTTGCTAATTTGGAGACCCAAAGACCCTCGTGTCAAGGGGTGGACATCAGGAGGCCAAAAGTCTCTCCGGAGCCACTGTCTACATAACTTAGCCGCCTGCTGGTCCTACCAGATGAATGGACCCTTCACCGCCTCTACGAGTACGCACGTAGAACCCATCATCTGACAAACCTGTGTGTGATCGTGAGTGTCATTATGTACATGTATTATACGCTGCCAAGGCGGACCAGCCAAGGGTCTCAGGAAGAACAGCGTTCACACAAGGCTTAGCCTCCTCTCCACCTTGTCTCTGCTTTCTTTCTCTTCACGCCGTGTGCTGAATAAAAACCATAACCCACTTTCTTGACTATTTGTAACAACAGTGCTGTTTCGCCCCCTCCAACAACATAGGAGACTAAAGGAGCCTAATTCATAACGTTAGAAACAGCCCAAATATCTGTCAGCAGCAGAATGAAGAAATGTGTGGTATATTAAAGGCGATCAAGAAACACTGTCACACACAATAAAATTGTCACTGTCTTAGGCATAAACGTGAGCAGAAGGGGCCTCTCACAAAGTCCATGCAACACGATTCCATTTACGTTCAGCTTACACTCTGGTGACCAATGTTATAATAGTGGTTTATTTTGGGGCAGCCAGTCTCTCGGGTGCAGGAACTGTTCTGTGTTTTGGACTGAGAGCTGCTTCACAAGATCACGGTGGTTGAGTTGATTCTGAACCACAGTGTCCCCCTCTTGGGTGGCTGAGGCCATAATTTTGGACAGAAGGAAGCTGCCTAGTGGATTGGAGCAGCTAGTGGATTGGAACTGATGACCGTTGGGTTAGCAGCCCTGCATGTTACGCACTGTGCCAGCCAGGTTTCTTGGGTGCTGCTTACAAGGAATTTAAAATGTGTGTTTTGAATTACTTATAATAACAATGCTTTATTGACTGCAATAAGCGACCTCAATAAAAAGGAAATGAATAATAACAAAAGATGCCCATTGGAAATTACCTGTGCATACCACTGCTTTACCAGGAGGATCAAATCCTTTAGTTTCCTGGGGCGGTTATCAAAAAACTCTTTCTGGAGCCTCACAAAACTGGCCGATAATTCACCAGGGGAGGCTTCTGTTGCATCCATAAAGCTCCTGAATTTTCAATAGATCTGGGAGCTGGGCTTCTCAATAAAGCCTAATGAGAAAAAGAAATGGGCATTTGGTAAACACATGACCTCTGAGGGGACGTATTCTTCCTCTGTGAAGGCCAGTCATAGTTTGACAGCACAAGCCAGTAACATAATCTCTTAGAAGAAGCACATTCACACGACATGCAATGAGGAGGAGTGGTTTGCCTCATCTGCTAATAAAACACATTCTAAAACGACTATAATGAAAACAGTATGGTATTGGTTTTAAGACAATCAAGGACTGAAGAGAAGGCCCAGAAGCACAATTATTAATGAAAAAGGGGGTATTTAACAAGGGAAGAAAGCTGGTTTCTTAAAAAGAAAAATGATGTTCAAGCAGGATTTTTTTTTAAAGTTTTTATTTTATTCTAATTTCAAGCAGGCTTCTTATCCGGAGTAATGCTAATGATACAGTATGAGTTGGAACTGACTGGATGGAGTGAAGTTTGGTTTGGGTTATTGAATTCATCCTGTGGACTGCCAAGAGAACTAACAGGTCTGTCCTGGAGAGGGTGAAACCAAACTGCTCCTTGGAGGCAAGGATTTTGAGACTCCGTCTCACATCCTTTGGTTATGTCTCCAGGAGGGGCCAGTCTTTGGAGAGAGATATCATGCTTGGAAGGGTCGAGGGACAGTGTAGAACAGGAGGACTCAGGGTGAGCTGGACTGACACAGTAACTGGGGTAATGAGGGTAGGTGTGTCAGAGAAGTGAGATTGGCTTGGGGCAGAGCAGGGTTCAGAGCTATTATGCAAAGGGTTGCTAAGAGTTGCAAGCAACTCGATGGCCCATAACAACAATAACAACAAAAATAACAACAAAATAACAGAAGAATCAATGCCTTTGAGCTGTAATGTAGGAGTAAAATACTGAATATCCCACAGACTGCAGAAAGAATAAACAAATGTTTTGGAGGAAGGAAAACCAGCTTAGTCCTTAGAGACAAGGATGGGAAAGCTTCATCTCAGACTTTGGGCCATTCCTTGGAGAAGGATGTCATGTTTGGGAAGGTGGCGAATCCTCAACAAGATGGACTGACAGAGTGATTGTAACCCTGGGGCAGAGAATCGGAGAGACAAGGAGGATGGAAATGGGTAGGACAGGGTTCAGACCGGTTGTGTACATGGTCACTACATCAGCGGGACAGTAAGTAACAACCACAACAGCTCGGTTGGTGCTAAGGGCTCATTTTTTTCCATGTGTCTTTGGTTCCTGCCCCTCCCCTACTCTTCTTTGCTTCAGACAAAGAGTAATGGTTGTACTTTGTTGTGTTTTTTTTTAAATTGAGATTTTAATGAAAGTTTATAGAGAACTTGGATTTCCATTCATTCATTTTTACACATTTTCCTCCCTGCCTTCCCCAGTTTGCTTTTCTCCTGGGGGGGAAAAATCTTCCATTGTTGTATAAATCCCTACCTCCACCCTAGTCCACTTTACTATGCAGTTCTTATACTGGACTGTTATCACACAGATAATACTTAATCCTATATTCCTTTTAAGCAGGTCTTTCCCTCATCTGTTTCAATGTAGTATACATTATTTATCCCCTCTTTTCTTAGTTTCCCCCAAACCCTGATGCCAGTCCTGTTTTACAACAGTGGCACTATGCAATATTTGTCCTTTTGTGACTGAGATATTTCAGTCAGCATAATGTCCTCCAGGGTCACCCATTTTGTACAATATTTCATGAGTTCCCTGTTTTTCAGGGCTGCATAGTATTCCATTATGTGAAGATACCAGAGCTTCTCTATCCATTCGTTTGTTGATGGGCACTTGGATTGTTTACTTCCCTTTGCTATTGTAAACAACACAGCAATAAACATGGGTGTGCATATATTTGCTTGGGTGGCAGTTCTAGTTTCTTTAGGGTAAATTCCCAGTAGTGAAATTGCTGAATCAGATGGTGTTTATATTTTCAACTTTTTGAGAAAGCACCATATTGCCTTCCATAGTGGTTGCACTATTGCACACTCCCACCAGCAGTCAATAAGGGTTACAGTTTCTCCACATCCTCGCCAGCATTTGTTGTTTGTGGCTCTGTTGAATTTTGCTGTTGTTTTTGGGGTGAGATGATATCTCATAGTTGTTTTGATTTGCATCTCTCTTAGAGCTAGGGATTTTGAACATCTCTTCATGTGCTTGTTCGCCATCTGAATATCTTCTTTGGTGAAGTGTCTGTTCATATCCTGTGGCCATTTTGCAATTGGGTTGTTTACCTTTATTTTTTTGTGGTGCTCAAGTATTCTATAAATTCTAGATATAAGTCCCTTACCAGACGAGTCTTTACCAAATATTTTTTCCCATTCTGTGGCTTTCCTTTTTACCCTATTGAAGAAGTTTTTTGATGTGCATAGGGACTTGATTCTTAGACAGTACCATTCATCTATTTTATCCTCTCCTGGTTGTAGGTAATGGTGGTCCTACAGATGGCAGCTTGTAAGCTTTTTAAATACCCAGTCAACAGATAGCAATATAGAGTCTAGAACATGACACTACTTTGCAGATTATGCTGATTGACCTTGAAGCCCATGGCCATTGGTTTATTTCCTCACAGTGTTTGTATGATATTATTTAAATTTTTGATAGGTATATCTGTGCTTGAGATGAAGTTGCAACTATACAAATGGTTAAGGTTTGGGTATTTCTGACAGTCCATGCTATATTTAATATTCTTTGTCAATGTCATAGTTTATCCCAGAAGTGGTTATAGTTGCTGTTGACTATGACATGAGTCACTATGTGACTCATAGTGACGTTGAGAACAACAAATCTCAACCAGCCTTGTCCTGAACTGTCCTCTGCCACACCAACTCCAAGGGAGTCTGCGTGACAAAATCACCCGATTGAGGCAAAAACTTCAAGGAAGTCAGCCTCTCGGAACGTGTGCTTTCTCCATGATTGTTCTTGGCCTTTCTGTAATTTCTCTTCTGTTGTCTCTTTGTGTTTTCTATGTGGGACAGGGAAACAAGGCTGTGTTCTTTACACAAAGTGTTCCTACTAAAAGTTTGTTAGATGTTCCCAGAAAGAACTAAATGGAGGTGACGACTTTGATACGCAAACATTACCTCCGGTTCTTTTAGCATTATTAAAACTTCTCAAGAATAATATGATTTTAAGGGAATTCATGGATGCATTATAACAAAAAGAATTAATGGTGGAAATCCTAGAGATGACCACTCCAGAGACTCCTAGATTTCTAGGGCTTATAAGAACTCCTTCAAAGGAAAAACCCAAACCCTTGCTCCCCACCATGAGAACACCGGGTGGAAGAATTGTTTATCTGTTAGGTAATGGTTGTTTGTGGCAGCCACCTATTGGGAGAGGCCCTTACAGAATTCCAGAGCCTACAGATAAACCTCTTCCATATACTGGAAAATATGTTGAATTTCATGCAAAACACCCTGATGGTTTTTGGGATATGTTTTTCAAAAGGTTTGAAAGTGACCAGAGAGAAGATGTTATGAAAGGTATAAATGGTAAAATAAATCATGAAACATGAGATTGGAATGATGAATTTAGGCGATATTATGACCCAAAACATCTTTTTTATAAACCAAAACTCCCTTATTGAGATAGTGATCACCCCTGGAATAATGCAAAGTGTAAAAGTGTTGTCTTTTGAATGGAAAGAAATAATATTGTAAATTTAACTAAAAATGTAAAATGTATCAAGCTTAAATTTAAAATGTAACTTTTTTACTTTGTAACTTTGCTACCAAACAAGTTAAAGAACAGGTTTAAAAACAGGTTTAAAAAGAAAATGTTTAAGGAAAAAGCCATTGTCTACCAGGCTCTCCAATTACCAAGGAACCATGACCATTAAGAATAGCCTTTCATGCTCTCCAAGGAACCATGACCATAAAAAATAGCTGTGTGCAAGATAATAATGTAAACTTTATTCTTACTTTTGTTGTTTTTCTGGCTGTTGATTAAGCCTCCAATTGTAAAAATGGAATATAAACATATCATGCTAAATGTAATAAGGAGGAAAAGGAAAGAAAAAGGAAAAAGAAAAGCAAGGGAAGAAAGAAGGGGAATTAGAATGACTCAGAATTAAAATCATCAAGATCACTTGACTGTTTGTCTTGTGTTCTTTCATCATCCCTTCGCCGAACTTCTACCCACCTTCGTGTTCCCTCTTCGAGACCCTAGACCTCAGGCTTATAAGGCCCTCCCAACTGGAGCAGCCCGCGGCAGTCCTCGGACATGCTTGAGCCCGTTGCTACTCTCACTCAGGGTTAGAATCTAAATGTCAAGGCAGATTAGAAATGCAAAATTCTGGACTCCTGCCCCAGGTCTCCTGAATCAGAAGCTGCATTTCCACCAAGTTTCCAGCTGATTTGTGTCTCCATGACCGTTTGAGAAGCCTTGCTCGAGAGTTTAACATTTAGGACATTTCCTCAAAGTTAACCAGGAGATGGGGTAGCGTGGGGACCCAGAGTGGGACCTGTCATTTTGGAAGGCATCAGTTGTGCCAATCTGGGTGTGCCATCCTTAGCCAGGAGGCTCGTGTTTCTGTCTGGGATCTCCTTCTTAGCCTTTGGCCACCCAACCCGCCTTGCACATTCCCCACTCCCAGGTCACTCACCCAGGACATTGAAGATGGGCTGCACTTTAAAGCTGACGCTTTGCTTTTCTGTGGACAGAAGGATGATGAGCTGGTCATCGACCCACACCATCTCCAGTTTGGCTGCCAGTCTCCTTAAAAATGGTTTAGCCTCATCCAGACGCTTCCAGATTTGGTAGAGAGTTTCATGTGCATCTGTGTTTCTCCTCTGATGCAGGAAGATATTGGAGTTATAGAGGAAGATGACAAGGATGCCATCAGATGTGCCTCTGAGGACCGTGTCCCGGCCATAGGAGCCACCCTGCAGGCGACAGAGAAACAGCTATGAAGCTCTGAGCCCACTGGGCATCCAGCAGGCAGTGGTATTGCTCAACATGGAGCAAAAGTGAAAAAAAAAATCTTGCAATTATACAGCAGGTGTTTAATTGATTCCCCAAAGTCCTGAGCACAGCAACAGTTTTCTTCACTGTGGCCAAAAGCCACCGTCAACTCAAATGCCCTTCAACAATAGAACAGTCAGATGTGGTACAGTCACATACAGTCACAGCGTGGAATCTTAAACAGCCACAGCAATAAACAACACAGCACAACAACATCAGCCTCCCCAGCAAGAAAGGTGGGATGAGTCCGCATCACCTGCCCAAGGCCGTTTCCTGTTGAGGGAGAGGTGAGAAATACCTCTGATTGCTCAGCTCTTTGCTGCTTCTGACATCAGCTGTCCCTCTCACAGCTCTCTCCACGTCTCTGCTGGGTTTTACAATTTCTCACAAGAGCCACACAGCATTCACGGACCACACTTACATATTATAAGCTTTATCTGGCAATGAGAGGCTTACTAGGGTTACAGCATTGTAGGAGGATAGTGAATATTCACGGAGCGCCAGAAGACTCTTTGTTTTGGAAGACATACAGCAAGGATGCTCCTTGAGAAGTGAGAATACTGCTCATGCGTTCTGAGCATGTTTTAGGGCAGAACAAGTCCCTGGCAAAGGCCGCCACACTCGGTAAAGTGGAGAGTCAGTGAAGAAGAGTGAGGCTGTCAAGGAGATGGGCTGATGGCCACAAGGAGTGACAGGCACTCAGATCAAGGTCAACTGAGAAGCAACAGGATCAACTCAGAATCCAGTTCTGTAACCAGGACAGCATCTTCTCGCCTTCCGCCATTGTGGGGGTGGTGTTGCGTACCATCTAGTCTGGACCGAACCATAGCTGACCCTCCAGTGGGTTTTCAGAGGCAGTTGATCACCTGGGAGGAGACTGCCCATCTTTCTGCTGCAGAACACGTTTGAGAGTCCAAGAGCATTCAGTGACAAGGGAAATGTTGTTTGTTGTTGTTGTTGTTATGTGCCGTCGAGTCGCTTGTGACTCATAGCGACCCTATGTACAACAGCCCTAAACTCTGCTCTGTCCTGTGCCAGTCGCACTGTCTCTGACACTCCCATCCCAACTACCCCAGTCAGTGAATCCACCTCATAAAGGGCCTTCCTCTCCTGCGCTGTCCCTCCACCCTCCCAAGCATGATGTCCCTCTCTAAGGACCGGTCTCTCCTCACAACATGTCCGAAGTATGTTAGACGGAGCCTCAGAATCCTTGCCTCCAAGGAGCCACCCGGTTTAACCCTTTCCAGGACAAATCTGTTTGTTTTCCTAGCAGTCCATGGTATTCTCAATACTCTTCTCCAGCACCACAGCTCAAAGGCATCAATTCTCCTTCTATCCTCCTTGGTCATTGTCCAGCTCTCTGATGCATAACAAGTGATTGCGAAGACCATGGCCTGTATCAGACGCACCTTAGTCTCCAGAGAGATACCATTGCTCTTCAGTACTTTGGAGAGGTCCCTAACAGCAGACTTTCCCATGGCAATGTGCCTTTTAATTTCCTGGCTGCTGGTACCAAGACTGTTGACTATGGAGCCAAGCAAACTAAAGCTGTGTACAATCTCAGTCTCTTTACCATCATCCTGATGCTGCCAATGGAAATGAAGATTTCAAAATCAACAACACCCTTTCAGAGGGTTTACCTCTGGTAAACCCAGGTGTTGCTTTGGGCTCCCCAGAATCAAAGTCAGACCAGAAGTCGGCTTAAACTAAGTCCATGTGTAGAAGAGACTCCACCCAGGCCACTTCCCTCAGTCTTCCCCTTGTGTACATCGGGCCCAACACCTCTCAAAGCTCTTTTTTGGTCTCTCACAAGTTTACTTTCTCTAAGTCAGCTCCCTCTTTTGTACTGAGTTCTGTTCCAGAAACCTGAGCTGGCTTCATTCCAGAGACCAAAAGGCAGACCTGACTCCTGCCAAATGAAGAAAAGGTGGACAGAGCCTCCGGGAGGTCAGCTAGTCACCCCCACTGGGACCCAACCCACACAGGTGAAGAAAGGCCAGAACAATTTTTTTAAAAAAATGATTTCTTTTCTCTTCGTTTCATTGTACCGCTATTATGGTTATTGCTAAAAGGCATTTCATAGATCACCTGCCTACTAGGAGAGAAATAAGTGATGAACCTTAAAAAACTTCAGGTACCAAACTTGTTAGTCAAAAGGTGAAGAATACGTGACAAGAAGCTGCACTGCAATCCCAGAGGCACAAGGTTCAAATCCACCAGATACTCTGCTGGAGAAGGAGGGGCAATCTCCTCCTGTACCAGTCAGACCTGATTTGATGGTACACACACAAAATATAATTTTTTTTAAAAAGGTGGAGAATAAGAGAAGACCCTCAAAGAGATGGATTAACACAGTAAATGGGGCAACGAGGGTGTCAGAGACAGTGAGACTGGCTCAGGACAGGGTTCAGAGCTATTCTACATAGGTAACCCAAAAGGCAAATAGCAACAACAACAACCATCCCAGCTAATGGACCCCTTGATTGCATTCTAACTATGTACCGGGCTCTGTGCCAAGAACTTTATACGCCGAAGCCTCATGATAGTCTAAGGTAGGTCTTATTCCTCTCCCCATTTTACAGAGTTGAAAACCGAGGCACAGAGAGGTAAAGAAGCCTGCCCGGGGTTACGCAGCCGAGAGGGCTTCCAATCCTTATAGTGTGTCCTGATCCTCTCACCTGAGTTGGGGGAGATAAGGAGGTGGCCTGGCTAGGACCTGGCGTGGATTCCCTTGTCCCCCTCCCTTCTGCCCTGTCACCTGCTTGGACTCACCGTGGCCACTCTCTCTACCAAAGGGTGGTCATCAGAATACAGCAGGGTGGAACTGATGGCGTCCACAGCCTGGGCGAACGGTTCCCGCCAGCCTTTCAGGGGCCGCAGGGTCCTCCGGACATAGTCATCCCAATCCTCAGTCTCCTCACAGGTCACAGGTAACCCCGATGACCACCAGCGTCCCCTGGTTCCCTGCTGGTGGCTGGTGCTCCAGACATAGTCATCCCAATCCTCAGTCTCCTCACAGGTCACGGGCAACTCCGATGACCACCAGGCTCCCATGGTTCTCTGCTGGTGGCTGGTTCTGGAGTGAGGAGCCGGGTTGAGAAGAGGGCAAGGAGGAGAGAGGAAGAGGGGGAGGGGCCTGGAGATCCAGCCAGGAAACTGAAACTGAACCGGTAGCCCTGGGCAGAGGCTGGGCCTTGCCCGGGTGTGGTTAGCTGCCCTGCTGCTTGGCACACTTCCTCCAGGGCCAGAATGTGAGCATTTGATGTCCACTGGACCTGCACCCCATTGTGTCTCTGTTTCCTCACTGGGAAAGTAGTAATCCTTGTAGGGTTACTACAAGGATTAAATACTAGGCATAGAGTGACACCTTTGAGCTGTGGTGTTGGAGAACAGCACTGAACATCCCACGAATGGCCAAGAGAACAACCAGATATGTCTTGGAGAGGGTGCAGCTGGCATGCTCTTGGGAGGCAGGAATGATGAGGCTTCACCTCACATACTTTGGGCATGCTGCTAAGAGGGGGCTAGTCCTTGGAGAGGGACCTGGTGCTTGGAAGGGTGGAGGGCCGGCAAAGGAGAAGAGGACCCTCAGACAGGTGGATTGACACGGTGACTGCCGCAATGGGTCCTTGTGTGTCAGGAAGTGTTAGGACGGCATCAGATGGAAGAAGGCTCAAGTCTTTGGCTCACGGGGTTGCTATGGGTCATACTTGACACCACCTAACAACAACAACAACAACAACTCCAACGAGTGCTTAGAACAGGAGCTGGCATGTGTTAAATGCTCTGGAAGTGTTTGCTAAGTAAAGAAAGAAAATTTCACAGTGGACATGTGTCCCTGCCCAACTCTCTTTTCATTCCCCAGTGGTTTGGGGCTCAGACTTGATGAAAGCAGAAAGGGCTCGCCTAAGGTGTGGGAGGAGAAGGACTCTGGCCATTGGCCTATTTGAATTTTACAGCCACACTACCAGATAAGCTGGGCAGGGGACAGAAGGCTCACTAACCAGATGTAAGCACAGAGGCTCAGAGAGGTTGAGGCATTTGTTCAATGTCACACAGCTGGCTGGACATTGTTGGGCTTTAAGGTGATGATACCTGATTCCAAACCGCACACTCCCTTACGATTATCACTACTATTTATTACCTGTTTTAATGACTGAATAGAGAGCTATGGCGGCTTCTTGTTTATGAAGAACTGTGGAGTTAGAACTGACTTACAGCTGATTACTCTTCCATTCCTTACCACGTACCCAAAGGCACACAGCTCGAATCCACCATCTGCTCCGAGGGGAAAGCTAGACGAGTAATCTCTTCCCGTGTGATTTATTCCTTCTGAAAACCCGCTAGAGGGTCTGCTAGGAGCAGTTCCGATTCGACAGCGGTGAGTCATTGTTAACCATTGACTATGTGACATGGTTTAAAACTGCTTACACATAATCTTAAGTTTTTTTCTTTTTCACTATGACGTGAGTGAAAGTTTACAAAGCTAATCTCTGTGCCATCCAATCTTTCCCCTACATTTTTCAAACACTGCATTTTGAAATCCTTTGAAATGATAAGAAAAGGTGCTCAGAACTCATGAAAATCTTTCACCAAGAACATTCAGCTACACTCAGGCTATTATTCTCTCAATATAGCTGATGCAACTGTGAAAATATACTAAAGATCATTGGGTAACATTTTACAAGGGGTGAGGCTTATGGTATGCGAATTATTATTATTTTGTTGTTGTTTAAATTGCCAACACTGTCTCTGAAGTCTTTGGTCTGAACTTTGTGTGCTGACTGTTCACGTTTTTTTAAAAAATTATTTATTTATTATTTTTATAATTAATTAATTAGTGTACTGTCAAATTGGATCTGACTGGTACAGGAGGCGATTGTTCCTCCTTCTTCAGCAGAGCATCTGGGGGATTTGAACCATGCACCTCTGGGATTGCAGTGCAATTTCCTGCCACTAGGCCACCAGAGCTCACCAACTGTTCACTTTTTAAGAGACTGACTTAAGATACACAGTGAACTAAACCTGCACCACTGATTTAACAAAGGAAACTGTTTTTTCTTTTTCTCCAAGTGATTATAAGCCACTTGAAGGGGTTAGGACTTAGCATATATGATTTTGGGAGCCACAATTCTGTCCATGACAGTTATTTCTAGGAGGGCCCTTAAAGGGATAGGCCACTTATGGAAAAAGAAAAGTCAAAGTACTATAAGAGCAGGCAACAGTTTGTCCAAGTTTAGTTTTGTGTCTTTCTGTTGCATTTTCAAATTTTGCACATTTTGAAGTTTGTTCCTGAGATTTTGTTTGCTATTTCACTTGGTCCTGGCCTCCTAACTCAGGGACAGAGTAGCGACCATCCACAGACCAAATCGAGACCCTGTCCCGTCCCTTTTTTTGTATAAATAAAGTTTTATTGGCACAATCAGACCCACTGTTCACAGACTATGCAGCCCCTCTCATGCTGAGAGCTTAATAGTTAATGGTGGATTGTAATAAATGTTTATGATCTAATCTTTTACAGAAAGTTTGTTGACCCCTGGTCTAAATGTTTATTAATTATAACTACGGAAGCTCTGTTTTTATGTATTCATTTTGTATGTTGATGCTTTTGAATTGTGGTGTTGTAGAAGAGGACTGATGATCCCCCTGCCTGCAAAAACCAGCAGACAAACGTGTTTTGGAAGAAATGCAGCCAGAGTTCCTTCGAAGCAAACGTTGTAAGACATTGTTCCACATACTTCAGGTCTCCTGTCAGGAGAGCCTAGTCCTTCCAACAGGACATCGGGTGTGGGAAGGAGAGGGCCAGGAAAAGAGATGACGACCCCTCAGTCAGACAGATTGACACACTGACTGCAAAACGGGCTTAATTAAGCACAGTATTGTTAATGGTGCTGATTAGGGGTTCTCTGTTGTACACAGGGTCTCTGTGAGGCAGAGCTGACCAGATGGCATTTAACAAAAATGTTCAGTAAAGAAATATTTTTTTCCCCTTGTGCAAATGCTTTAAAAAATTCTGGAACATTTAATTGCACTTTGAGTGAAAGTTTACAGAATAAATAGTTTCCCCCCCAAAACCATTTATACACACTTTGTTTCGGGGCATTAAAGGCAATTTCCTTTAGCAGCACTCCATCTTCCCTGGGTTTCTGTTCTGTTTCTATTCACCCATTTCTCCCTTCCTGTTTTCTCCACGTCCTCTGTGGGCCAATTGCTGACCCCTTTGGTCTCCTCTGGTTACTGCTGACGGGAGCACATTTGTCACGGGTGTTACTGTTCACTTTATGCTTGATCGCCCATCCTCTAGCGGTTTCCAAAGATGTTGGGATGTTGTACAAATAACGATTGCTTGCTTTCTTTTTCTCTTGCATCTCAAATGATCATCTTCAACTGTACAGTGAGAGCTGAGCAATGAATAAGGATGTCAGGGGAAAGAATCAATGCCTTTTAGTTGTGGGACAGGAGGACAGTGCAGAATGGATTGCCAAAAGAACAAATAAATGTTTTGGAGAAAGTGCAACCAGAGAGTTCCTTGGTGGCAAGTACGGCAAAACTTCACATCACATACTTTAGGCACATTCCTAGGAGAGGCTATTCCTTGGGGAAAAGGCATCATGCGTGGAGAGGTGGACAGGGTCATCAGTGAAGGACAGTCAGACCCTCCAGTGAGGTGGACTGATACAGTGCCAGTGGCCATGGCCTCCAATGTGTCAGAAATTATGTGGATGGCACAGGATAGGACAGAGTTCAGCTCCGCTGTGCCCAGGGCCGCAGTGACTCAATCTCCACCCAAGGGCACTTCGCAGCAACAACAACTGTCCTGTGAAGTCCATGTCCTCGAGATGGAAGTGCATAACTACAGTCCCCGCCTCACACGGAATACAAATCTGACATTCACACAGCAGCTGGTTCAGAACTGCTCTAAAGCAGAAGGCCTGGGGGTCCTCACTCCAAGTCCAGGACGCTTTCCTTCAGATGGATATGCTGAATTCTGCACGGCAGAGAATGAGCAGGTGTTTGAGAAGGCAGAGTGCGCCCCTGCAATGCTGGGTGACCCAGGAAGTCTTCTCGGAGGAGGTGAGCCTGGAGCAAGATCTTAAGGGAGAGATGTGAGCCATCCAGGTGAGATAAGGAAATCGCATTGCAGATGGAGGAGACATAGTCTTCCGGAGGGAGAAATGAAAGTGATGAGAACTTTTTTCTCCTTTCTCTGCTGCTTTGCAGTGAACTCAGCCAAGCATTCCCAGTACCTGCTTTTTAAGCGCCATGCTCCTTGTCTTCACGAAATGCAGTGGGCTGACTGCTCAGCATGCCTTTCCTCACCATTGGCTTTGAACATGAAACTGGGTTGTGTTGCTGTGGTTGAGTCCCATGTAGTCAGAACCACCTCGTGGCTGACCCTCCAGTGGGTTTTCAGAGGCAGTAAATCGCATGCGAGGAGATCGCCCATCTTTCTCCCACAAAGCAGCTGGTGGATTCGAACTGCATACCTTTGCTTCGGAAGCACAGATTTCTTACCACAAAGTCACCAGAGCTCCACATGGCTGGGGAGGCCTATGCCAGTAATGTAAATGAAGTAAACAGGATCTTTCGTGAGAACACGCGAAACAGGCGTACAGACTACTGACGAGTGGACAGGTCAGTTTCAGCACTCAAGGAGGCTCAAAACGGAGGCAGAAGACAGGGTTCCCAGAACCGTCAAGACAGAAGTCCAGTGTGTTCTTTTGGGCCAGAGACCACCACACAAAACAGACCCGACCCTAGACCAGAGGAGCAGGGGCAGAGATGGTGATGAATCAGACAAAGTTGACCTGGAACTGCCACCCCACGGAGCCAGAGCCGAGGGCCTTCACCAGGCTCCCTGGAGGGAGGGCTGCGGGGCGATGCCATAATCGGAGGACGAATAGGGAGGGTCCTGAAGCTTCAGCCAGTCCACAGGAGGAGTTTAAGAAGACTCGATCATGCCCACGGTGCCCTCCTGTTGGTTCAGCACCAAGAGCTGGGGACACGGGCCTGGTCTCAGGAGAGCCCTGCCTGTAGACCCCTTGGCCAGCTGGAGCCAAGGAGGGGCAACGATGTGTGGAGGTGGGGAACAGACCCTCAGCTGCTCTTCTCTCTCCAAGGATGATGGTCTGGTGGGAAAGCTCTCCCCACCCTCCTGCAGCCCTAGTGGACAGGGAGGCTGGCCTGGGGACAGAAGGGGCTGGGTCTTGGGGAGATGGAGAAGCTGAAAACCCAGACTGCTGCTCAGAGTCTGGCCTCCAGTGTGCAGGCTGGGCGGGGGTGGGGGAGTGAGAGGGGTGTCAGGGAATGTGGAAGCGGAACTGCCCATCAGACATATGGTGGTGCTTGATGTAGGCAATCAGGCTGCAAGGGAGGCGGAGGGGTCAGCTGGGGGACTGGATGGGAGCAGAGCGGATTCACAGAAACACATCCATCACCACACGTGCACACTCCTACCACCCATGCATGCACACTAATACCCCTACATCCATGCATACACACTCCCCCACACATACACACCCACGCACGCACATAATACCCCTACACCCATGCATACACATTCCCCCATGAATACACACCCACGCACGCACACTAATACCCCTACACCCATGCATACACACTCCG